GAAGCAGATTTTTGAATAGGAAATTACTCACAACTATATATATTTATATATATCATCATCTCAAAGTATAGTGATCAATCAAAACAAGTTTTATGAAGTACTGAATCACTGCCTTACTGAATTTCAAAATGTTAGACACATCCAGAAACAGGGGCAATTTCTCAAATGGAATTTAATCTGATTTGCAGAGGCCATATCCTCATGACTATCTAATTTTAGCAAACTGACTTCAATCAATACAACAGTTACAGATAAAAACGCGTAGTGCCTGTAAACCTATGTCAACATTATTCTTTCTGTGAGCGTAGAGCACTCCACCAAACTGACCTTTGGATTTCAGCAGTTAGAATAAGCTCTCTAATAGCTTGAAATACCTCACTCTGGTTTCTCAGGCTTTGAACACAATGGAGTGACTTTTCAAAGGGGGGACTGTGAGTTATATGGATCTAACTGGTCTTTATAGATGTGTGGTCAAGCGTCCAGAGCCCAAGTGATTCTTCTAGACAATGTGAAATCCCCATTCCATATCCTCAGATCTTTTGTGTCTACCGGCTACAACAATGAGTACGAATAAACTGAATAAAGTGTAGCGCATGAGACCTGGAGTAGGCCAGGAGAATATTTAAGGTGTTCCTTAATAAATTCCTTCTAGAGAACGCCCAAACCCATTGCAAGATCTATTAAAATAAGAAAAAAATACAATAAGTTCTTCAATATATATAGTTTATTTTCTATGTCCCAACATTAAAATTCAGTTTAACTTTATTTCTATAGCGGCAAATTGCCCCGAGGCCCTTTATAATTATGCTCCTTACCCATATTTGCTTTAAACCTGATATGTTAAACCTGAGCAAACGTAGCTCTTTACATTCAGGTCCCTGCATTGTCTCCGACGTGACAAACATGCTTCCATCACACCTACTGTGCCTGGAACTCAAGCCAGCAAATAACGACAATTACTGCTGGCACCACTTTCAGGCACCAACGGTTTTCATTGGCCTGCACTAATCCCCCATAAACCCTTGCAGTGCAACAATCACCAGCAGAGGCTCAGCTAATTGCTGATGAGTCCCTTGCACGCTCCAGGTGCCACCATAGCACACCCGGTGTTTGTAAACAGCACTCATAAAAAGGAGGCTACCATCAAAGTGGCAATGTTTTCTTGGAGGATCAGAGACAATGAGGAATGATGCGGGTACAGCTGGGCAGCTGATACCTGGATGGACTCCTTGCCTACAGCTTTGCACGAGCAGAGAGAGGGTTTAATCTATGTGTTCCAGTCAGAGAAGAAAAACACTCAACAGGGGTTTGTGTACTTTACCCCCCCCCTTTTTTTTTTCTTTTTTTTTTTTACTCTGTACTTCTTTGTATCACCTCATATAGACTATGACTTCACTTGGTAAACATGACTAGTGATGTTCAGGGCAAAAAATCCCTGATGTCAGATATTTCTGTGCAATACAAATACAGGCCATTTACCATTTCTGTGCTTAAAGTTTTTACAGCTCTGCAGATGTTCTGTGTTAGAGCAGCAACATTAGTCTGATGGCACTGATAGCCGCCTGGGGGCATAATCTATATGCAATTTTGTATTGTGCTGTCATTTGTATATGATTACCCAGAGATGCTATCATTTTGTCTTTAATACTGAAATGCACAAATGTGCACAGACAGAAAGGTTTTGGTTACTATCAATGGTGAGCGTTGGGGTGCCTCTGTACTGACCTCCTTAGTACAAATTGGAGCCAAAAATTTCAAATTTGGATACTTCACTCCAACATTCCTATTGGAACTGAATTTCAGTCAGGTTCTTGGGTAATTTGGCGTACCTCAGCTTTTTCCCCAAGAATGACTTCTTGACAGACATCTTCCACTGAGACCATTTCTGATGAAGCTTCAGTAAACAGCAGATGGATCAACTGAAGAGCCAGATGCATCTCTTAGGCCATATCTCAGGTCTTTGCTAGATTTTTTTTCCCTGTTTCATAAGTACATGACTTTCAGATACAGTTCATCTGATAGTTTTATAAGGCCTAACATTCATGTATTGTCCTCAATTTGTTTTTTATTTTTTATTAGTCTAGTTTCCTCAAATCTTTTAAAAATGTGATGCACACCATGGTGAAATGTATCAAGTTTTAGACTAATAGCTGTTTAGCAAAACTTGTTGGTGCAAAAAATACTATTTTATGTCTGTCAAACTGTAAATACAAATACAGAAATGAGAACAAATAATGTTTTTGACAGGCTCCTAGTAACAGAGTGGCTAAAGATATCAGTTACAAACGGTTCTTTGCTAAGTTGTCAATTATGTATAGACAAAACACTGGCTCATCCCTTGAATATGGAGCCTTTTTTAATGTTTGAAATAGTCATAGGCCAGTGTTAGGTAGATTAATGAATAAAATAATTCCCATGAAAATGGTCAAATACGAGGACTGTATGAAAATGAGTGAAAAAGCAGTGAACAAAATTGAAAGACTCTTAGAAAGCATGGAGAACTATTAAACAAGACGATTAGTCTTGGGTTCGCTCACCTCCTTGAGAAAAAATTGGCTTCTTGGAAACAAAATATAATAAAATTATAGGTGGCTCAAGAATTTTTCCTATTAGTTTATGTTTAGAAAGAAGTATAGTTCCATTATTAGTGAACAATTTAGGTAGAGGTATACTAAGCAGGAACCAAAGGTCTGAAAAATCAAGGAGATGCATTATTATTATTATTATTATTATTATTTATACAACTCCTATTATTCAGTCTAAATGTTAAGATTAGCATTTGCACTTAGTATCTGAACCGTCCTGTACAAATAACTGCACAAATAAACAGACTTTAAAAACACACTACAGTGCAGCACCTGCAAAGCCACTGTTATTCTGTTATTTGCATTTCTTTTTCATCAGAACTATTCAGGAACTTTGTTCAGTCACTGCCCTGTACAAGACTTGTGGTTCTACCAAAACAGAAGAGGATTGGTCAGTTGGGAGACCTGTGGCCCAATGCTGCTTTTATGACTCATCACCATCACTCATTTCCTACCAGCTTGCCTCATGCAGAACTTCAGCACCTTGATCTAGTGTTGTGTATACCCACTTCTGTCCAAAGCTAAGAAATCTTTCTTTTTCTTACAAATATCCAACTGTGGCCTTTTAGCAACAGAAAAGAAAGCATCTTTTCTGCTTCTCTGGTTTACAAGGCATAAGAAAAAAGGATTTGCACCCAACAAACCAAGACATCAAAGTGCTTTTGAGATTATTTGCAGGTAAAGTAAGGAAGAAAAATCAAAAGAAGCATTAATCTCTATTAATTAGCTCCTATTAAGGATGCTGTGGTAAGACAGGACATCTCTAAAAACAACTACCGTAGGTAGAAACCTTCACCTTGGAGGTTTTCGCAGGGTGACATAAGTTACCACCAGAGACAGTAAACAACAGCAGCATGACCAAAGCATGATTGTGAGGGCTGCTTCTGGAGAGTTGCATGGATGCAATTCGGCAGGATGATTATGTTCACATTTAAGTATGACTGATAGTAGGGCTGCAATGATTCATCAAGTAATTCAAATAACTCAATCATAAAAAATCTTTTACATAAATGTTTTGCTTTGATGCTTTGTTTAACGAACGTGCTCTGTAGCACTCAGTCATCACCATATGTTTCACCCGTATGTTTGTTTTCCCAACATATGGGTGAAACATTGCTTAATTAAACTTCTATGAAAATATAATTATAACCAAATTCAAATTCAAATTTTATTTGTCACATACACAGTCATACACAGTACGATATGCAGTGAAATGCTTAGACAACTGCTCGTGACCTAAAGAAAAGAAGACTATGAATAGGATAGGAAATAAATATGAAAATTAAAATGAAGGGTAAATTTAACTAGGAAGGAAAAAAATAAAAAATTAAAATTAAAGTTAAAAATAAAATAACTGTACAACAAAATACGCAAAACACAAATACACAGTATAGAAATATATAAGAATATATGAAGAAATATAGAACAATAACAGCAGCTGTACAAGTACTAAATGGTAATGAAGAAATATAATGTCCAGGGTTGTGCAATCCACATGTGTAAGTGTCTGGTGCAGTGCAAATATGCTTAAAGTGATTTATTTAAGTGACTTGTGATAAAGTGATTCGATTTGATGACCACGCAGTGTAGTTGTGCAGTGGCCACTAGTGTAAACAAATGTCCAGAATGTTCAGTGTGTGTGTAAGAACCATATGTGTGGGTCAGTACTGTGTGGTGGTGTGATTGAGAGACCGTATCGCCTGCGGGAAGAAGCTCCTCCTCAGTCTCTCTGTGTTGGTCTTCAGGGAGCGGAATCGCTTTCCTGACCTCAACAGAGAGAACGGTCCGTTGTTGGGATGGCTGAGGTCCTTCACGATCTTCCTGGCCTTGGTCCAGCACCGCCTGCTGTAGACTGAGTGCAGGTCAGGGAGCTCAAAGTGGATGGTGTGCTCAGCCGATCGCACAACCCTCTGTAGAGCTCGTCTGTCCTGCATAGTGCTGTTCCCGAACCAGGTTGAGATGTTTCCCGTCAGGATGCTCTCTATGGTGCAGGAGTAAAAGTTCCTGAGCACCTTGGAGGGCAGTCGGAAGTCTCTCAAGCGTCTGAGGTGAACTGACAGGATTGCAATTTTTTGTGAGACTCTTGTACATGTCCTGCCTGTATGTGAGCTTTTTGTCCTGGACTCTGAAATCCATGTGTTGTAGATTGGCTATAATCTAGTCTTTTATAAACCCCCATCTCCCTCTGGATGCAGTTAATAGTTTAATATTACTAGTTTCTTTTCTTTTCCTTTTTCTTTTTCTTTTAAACATACATTTTGAAATGAAACCTTTATGAGTGTCCTGGACTCTCTCTCCTCAGAGCATATGGTCGTCTGATAAACTAATCACTAATGATAGAATGACTTTTGATGGAAGAAGTTCCCAAATCTGGATCTTTCTAACCTTGCCCCTTGTTCTCCTTTTATTTTCCAGGCTTGATGGAAATCCGATCTGTCAGTGTGGGAGTTGTTGCCATCAAATCTGTCAGCACCGGGCTGTACTTAGCTATGTCCAAGAAAGGCACGCTCTTTGGATCGGTGCGTATACAACCTGGCAACATTTTTCTGGAGGTCAAGACTTCTGGACAGGGAAGGAAAGTTGTTGGGGTTGCAGGATATATATGAGTCCCAAATGAATGCCACCCTATGTTTGATGTTCCCGAAGAGAGGGAAAATCTGAGAAATCTTCTGATGGAAAGTTCAGAGAGATGTCAGACTGTTATAATCAATCATGACTGTACACCTGCACCTTGTCTGACTATACAGAAGCTAGAGCTGGCTTGCTCCACCATCAAAACAGACAGCAGAAAAAAGAAACCTAAGCAGCAATGACAAATAGCCAGCTGGGTTCATGTAAGTCCTTGCGTGCCATCTGCCAATTGTTGTTTTGCAAAGCAGCTTTCAAAAGTAATCACCACTCATTGTTAAACTCAAGCACAGTTCAGAACTGAGGTGTGTGGTGTCTAGCTCGTGTACTTAAAGCTTGAAGACGAAAACATCAGGGATGAGTGATAAGACAAGTGCCTCCGACCATCTAACACACAAAATAGGACATAAATAGACCCGATGGAGGACTTTACAAAATGGCAGATGAATCACGGCATGCTCACTTTATCCCGATGCTATCACAGAGAAGGCCTCGTTACAGGAGCCTGATAACAATCTGGAAAAGGGAATGCAGCAGAGCCTCTTGTAACTGCGACATCTTTTGAGACCCTTACTGATAAGAAGCTGTAACCACCCGTGGAAAAGTGGCTTTGCTGAAGGTTGCATTTTTAAGTGCCTTTAAGAAAAAAACTTTGTTTTATTGTTATAATGTGATTAATTTGAGAACACTCAAGGTTCAGTTAACCCAAATCACAAATAAAGACACACACCAGCCACCCGCTTCGTCACAGTCATGTCTTTTCGCATTTGTAAGTGTTTTAAGCTCTCGTGTCTAAGGTTTCAATTCGACGTAAGCGAACAGAAATGAACATGTCCTTCCAATAATAATGTCCCAGTTAACCAAGATATTTCACAGAACTCACCATCATGTGTCTCTGTCAAAGATCACTTTTTAGAAAATGGTCCCAAAGAAAATGAAAATGTCAGGTGTAAACATATCTCAAATAACCAGAATATTGTTTCTGGAATGCAAAGCCTGTTCCTATCCTCTAAAATAAACTGCACAGAAATGATGGAAAAGATATTTAAGAGGTGAATGTCTTCTAAAGGGTGAGGATTGGGAAATTCTTTTCAAATTTGGGTTAACCAATCCTTTAATTCTTACTTCCACTGTCTGAGAAAAACAACCCAGATCACTACAGTGGATAAACTCACTGTATATACTGCAAACACCTGGAAATCTTTTACTACAGCAACTGTCATTAACCTTTGTACACTTGAAAGCTGGCCTTGTACAGAGAAGGAACAGCAGTCAGCTGTTAGCAGTAGGTTAATTGCTCACACCCTCTTTAATGTCTCTTCTCTTTCTTCCTGCAATCACAGGTGAAGTACAACCCGAGCTGCAAGTTTAAAGAACGCATTGAGGAGAACGGCTACAATACATATGCTTCGCTTCGCTGGAAACACAGCGGCAGGCAAATGTTTGTTTCGCTGAATGGGCGCGGTAAACCGAGGCGGGGCCACAAGGCTAGACGTAGACACCCATCTACTCATTTCCTGCCTATGCTCCCCTCGTAGCAGTCCAAGTCTGAACTCTGACCAACAACTGGATGGCTCACCTCCATAGGAGGACTAGTGTTGATGTGGCTGTGACACAATGTGTATTTTTATTATTCCATCCTCTTGTCACATAAATGTACATTTGCTGAGGTCTGTAACATTTGTAGAGGTAGTATAATATCTACTCTTAAGTTATTTTCTGCATTTTCTAATGATGTTCAGTAATACAGCACAATACAGTAGAACTACGTTACGTTCAGACATCTGTCTTGCCACCAAACCAGCTGTGTTTGTAGCGCACGTTTGAGGTGAGAGGACAGAAGGGGAGATAGCGAGACAGGGGCTTCCAAATGATAAAATTTGGATTTGTGAAGAAAACACATCACTATTAAAAGAGACCCTTATAAGTCAGTGGGCAGGATCAAATTCTACTTTTAAAAACATCTGCACAGTAGCTCTGTTCCAACAGCTTGGCTTCATTTTGCTGTATATTTAGCCTCACAAAAAAGCACATGTGAATTTATCATTACATTGCATCATGTGCAGGTCTACCTGAAAAGACATTTTTTTATGTATTCGCACTGCATCCAGCACTGTTTTCAATGCAGTGTGTGAAATAACATTTTTGTAAGGCTAAGTATGACTACATTTATGCAACAAACCCTGACAAGGATTAGTGGAAGAGAGCTGACGGATGGATATGCAATATTTTTTTAAATAGGGATAAATTATCATAATGAATGGGTTAATAAACGCAATGAGAAAACTCCAAAGAATCAAAAAAAAAGGGGAACCTCTACTCAGCAAAGTCCATGGTACAAATTTTATACATGTTCACTGTTGCTTGGGAAAAAACTGACACCACTAGAAAAAAGATAATGACGTGCAGTTGAATTGTACTGACTCAAACACAACGATAGTTGTACTGTTCTGTGTGTATATGTTGATATATGTCAAGAACACGACAGGAACTAAGCTAACTACTGGGATAACATGCTGGATTTCTTGACATGCCCTTTCAACGTCTGTGCATGCTTCTGTCACTCCGCTTCTCTCATTCAACCTACAGTTAGTAGATTAGAAATCAGATAACAGAGAACTTTAATTTTTAATTTTGGTCTTTAATTCTGTCGTGAAATCGCTGACATCTGCTTTGACTCATTTAACGCTTTCTAGCAGCAGTAGGCAAACACCGCGTTGCATAGCAGCAGCCCCATTAATTTTGTACGCCATAGTAAATGGTTTTTACAATCTGCTTCTTTCAAGTCTTTCTAACGTTTTCTCGACAACAAGGCTAATAGAACATTTAATATATTTAAAACTTTTATACTCTTTAACTGTTTGAAGTTGATGTTTATTGTTATTGTTGACTTTTTTGTTGGATTGTAGTCCTACTGTTTAAAATAAGGGGAAAAAAATAATATTCAGTCCATATTCAGCTCAATTTGTATTACTACTGGATGTTGGTACGTTTGTGATCCATTTATCATAAGCAGTTTTCCACAATAGAAATTAAAAGCCGTGTGTGTATATATATAACAACAGATTCTCAGAACAAACAGTCCCTGGATCCATTTCAGTTGAGTAAAGTAATTTGAGTGCCTTGGTTCATGGTAATCTTCAATAAAGAAAAATGTGGATACGTCAGCAGTCACAGCTCACGTGCTTACAAGCCTTATTTAAATAGTTTTTTTTAGTCATGAAGAGCCACAATGGCATTTTTATCTGCTATGGCGCTGATTGTTAAGAGTTGGTAACATCTCCATCACAGCACTTCGACATAATCCCCCTCTCATCATAATCATGAAGAAACTCACAGCGGGAGAGGCGTTGATGTGGAGGACCTCCCCGTGTCTAATGAAAGCTCTGTGGTTATGAACTATGCAGCCGAGCATCAAGATCATTTACACACAGACGAGACCTTCGGTGGCACAGGAGGCCACTCGGTCTTTTCAGTGAACAGAAAGGAGAGTCGGGCATGAATAGTGGGTGTTTGGGGTGAATAAAGGCCAACCTTTCAGCCTGTCATAATGTGAGATTACTGTGACGGGGTACATGTCTGGTCAGAATGGCGTGAAGTCACACTGTAGTTCAGCTCTGACGGTCTGGGTGCGACGCAGAATATCGGTATGGGGGGTCTGGCAGTACTGTTGCCATGTAAATGTCTTTGTCCTCTGCTGTGCACACCAGAGGTGCACTTATATTTTTGAGAAGTAAATAATATTTACAGTTCTTGCTGATGTGGGTAAAACTTTCACTTAAAAGAACGTTACCTTAACTCTGGAGAGTCCTAGATGAACTTTTTACTCCATTTCTAGTCTGTTCTCAGATTATCTAACTGTCTGCTGACATAAAATTTAGAAAGTAAATAAGAGGAGGGTCATGAATGTTAACAAGCTATTGAAGCTTTATTAATATGCTATTATACTTTATAAAGTCCATTCAAAAATAGGGTTGCACAGGACAGAGAAATCCCATTTTCTGACTGATCTCCTGATTGACTCGCTTCTTTGTCAGTGTCCTCCATCTCCTGTGCTCTACCTCTCCTCTTTCTTCCTTAAACCGTCCAAGAATCTCTTTCTCCTTGGCCTGAGGGTGCGACTGGCTGTTGGTGCCAGTTCCACGGACAGCAAATGGGAGCTGTAATTATCATTGCTCCACCACTGTCCTGTCAGTGTGCTCGCCAGCAAAACAAGAGGGGAGCCTTTGGAAGTCCTGATCAAAAGCTTTGGCCTTTGATCATGAAGCAAAAGGAAAAACCTAAACACTGTGCAAAATCAACAAGGAATGTCCCAAAGAGAAAGACCTCAGGAGAATGCAAATGACAGCCATCCAGAACGCATCCTCAGCTCCTCCTCTGCAGTGACGTGCTGATGTCACTAACACAGGTGTTTGGGCTGTGTTTGATCTAACCCGCATAAGCAGAGGACTGAGGGAGTGAGTCACGCACTGATGTTGTTGCACAAGTATCTAAAGACAGCACATGGTAAGCTGCACAGCAGGTAATGTGTTCATGTTTTTGGAAAGGCCTCAGAAGGTTCACATTTTGAATTTGATGGAAATATCTGTATACTTATATCATAGTACGGTATGTCTTCACATCAGTAAAAACATAAAATATAGATGGGATTCTGCATGACCCAACACAATTAATGTTCATAGAGAAGGTAACTTTGTAGGCAACAAAATAAATTTGCAGCTGACTGACAGAAAAAAAGTAATAATAGAAGCCCATTTTGAGGGCCTCAGCCAAAATCTACAGGGGCACAAGTCATGCTGCTTCAGCGACAACAAACCACAGCCTCTAGAACCTTTGAAACCCTGTGTGGTCATTTTCTCTCACAGTGACTGAAAAGAACTGTGGTGGGTGGGAAAGAGAAAAAAAAAAGAGCCCTTCTTAATACCAATCTTATGTATGTAGACGAAAATGGGAGAAGTGGGAGGGGTTGGGGGGTGGCAGACAGACTAAGGCACAATTTTAAAGCGCTTATTGAATTGCCATTACAGCTCCTGAGACTAATTGTGGCTGTTGTGTGTCTCTCGGTGGCCTAGGGGGCTCTGGAGTGGCCCTGTATGCTCTTACTCAGTGGGGTTTTCAAACCGAGTGGCCCTGAAAGAGAACAGGACCACCGTAGATCAATGGCAAACCTTTCACTCTTTCACAGGCCCTCACTAATCCTTCTCATTTGTCTGCCATTTGTTGAGGCACATTCACAGCTCCCTGAATTTAGGATTAGGGCTTGTTTTGTTACAAAAACAGCCCAAGTTATAAAGTTGAATAGATGGACTGAAGGGTGGACGACAGATGAGTGTGCATGTGAGTTTTTGAACATGTTTGCATGTGTGTATGGTTATTATGTATACACTGTTTGTATGAACAAATTTATGAGATCACAGTGCCTAGTCATCTATATGCACATGATTTGTGGCCACGACACACATGTAAAAATATATGGACATTTCAAGGTGAACTCTAGCATAAAAGATCAATAAAGAGATGTAAAGGGGCAGAAATAGAGGCAGCCACACTCAGAGAAAGTGTATAGATAGATAGCTAGCAGAGATCAACACTCTTTGACAGCTGCAGTTGGTCCTTCCATTTTTAACCAGCTCACATCTGCACAATACGTATATGCGAAAATCCTCCTTCACCTAAAATTTCAACACTCTGGAAATACTAAATATGTCGCAGTGCTGCTGTTGCTGTTATCTCTAAGACAGGACGTGGAAAACTTTCTTCATATTTCTGCAAAGGCCTTTTGGTCTTTTCAAAATGTTAATTCAGTTTTGTATACATGTTTCTCAATGTAGTACTTTAGGTATGAGTGCATGGATTAGCAATGCACATATCTGTAAATACATCTATATTAGTATCTGCATCTCTCTCTCTCTTGCTGTGTACATGTGTAGTCACATTTATTTGTACAAAGAGAGAGCAAAGACAGAGTTCTATGTCCTGAATCACCTTTTGGAAATAAACTTTTCATAAAAAGGAGCAAAAGCAAGAACAAATTGATTCATCACACACAAATACCTGCAAAGGAAATACAGTTTCATTAAAGCTGCTGCAATTCCCTTTGAACTTCAGAGTTTTTCTCCATTGTGTTCTGTTTGAACCTGAGAGTGTGCTTTGACAGACTTGGCAGTCTGCTACACGACTATCAGACTGAGGCCTTCTCATCACTGACTGGATTAGTGTTCATGTTTGAAGCCACTTAGTAGACTTTAGACAGGGCTGCTGAGTGGCATATGCGCCACATTTCCCCTTAAGCCCTGCCATGCCATCCAAAGGTATGTGGTGCTGACTGGCCAAACGCCATGTCAGGCATTCTTTGAATATCTGCAGCCCTGCCAGACACCAGGGGATGTTGTGAGGAGATGGATGGAAAGACGATTGTGTGACAGCAAAGTTGATCCCTGAAAAAGAACATATTAAAGGCTAGAAATACCAGTAACAGTAGTGATTTCTTGCTGAGAGCTACACAGAAGTGACAACAACACTTTGCCACACATTCAGTGAGGGGATCAGGTGGCTCTGTTTTGCTCTAGGGGACATTTCTCATATGTTTTGGGTTCACTATTCCCCTTGAAAGGAAATGTCGCTGCAAATCACTACAAACTTTTTCGGTGTTATCAACATTTGCTTATGATGAAATAGCTCCATCCTGTTGGGGGTAATATCTTTCTGGATAATAGTTCCACCATGCATGGGGCAAATGGGGGTCACAGATTTTTTAGGTGAGTATTAAAATAACATAAATTATGCACAGGCAGCAGTCTGAGCAAGACAAGTTGTTCCCAAGCCAGCTGAGAGATATGATCTCTGCAGCAAGTCCTGGGTCTTCCCTGGGGCCTGCTCCCAGTAGCACATGCCCGAAACACCTTGCCTAGGAGGCAACCAGCAGGAACCTAGTCAGTCACCTCAACTGGCTTCTTTCGATGGGAAGGAATAGCAGCTCTGCTCAGAACCTCTCAAATAACCAAGCACCTCATCCTGTCTCTGAGGGAGAGCCGAGAGACAGGATGAGCAAAAAATTACCACCACTTGTACATACTTATTCTTTTGGTCACTATCTAGAACTCACGACCATAGGTGAGGATGGGAACAAGAAATGACAGGTAAATCGAAAACTTGGCTTTCATGCTTAGCTCTCTTCACCACAACCGAACAGTACAGCTTTTGTATTACTGCAGAGGCTGCCAAGCACAAATAAAAAATTAAAATGAGAAAAATATGTTTATTAATTTGCGATCTTTTCTTACTGACAAGTATCTTTTAAATCACAGATTCTACGTGTTTCCAGTGCAACAGGTTTTTATGGCAGCTTTAACTAATTATCTGCTTGTTGCTATTAATATTATTTACCTCTCAAAGGTTTATGAGGGTAAAAAGAATGTATACCTGCTTTAAATTATGACTGCTAATCAATTAACTGATCATCTGTAGCCTGACCACTTCTATAAAAGCAGGAATTTTGAGCTTTGGCAGATTGCTGGACTGTTGCAAAATTAAAGAAGCTACTGTTGCTGCCATTCAGTCAATAAATAATGATAATGATTATTCACAAATGCAAAACATTCAAGATGGATGCCAGTCTTCCCAGGAGTGGATGTCCTAGCAAATTTATTCCAAGACTGTGCAATGCTCACAGAAACTGCAAAAAAAACAAACAAACAAATAAACAAGAGTACAAGACAAACCTCTTAGACTCACGAGCCTCAGTTAGCGTGTCAATACGATAATGTCCAAGTTCTATCTGAACAAACCGCGAGGTTTTTGGAACAGTGTGGAAATCTGGCCATAATGCACACTGCACAGATAATCAGCACAACACCAATACCAGCTGTCATCCACGGTGGTGGAGGGCTGATGAGTTTGGTTTGTTTTGCAGCCACAGGACTTTGACACCTTGCAGTTATTGTGCTCCTCTTGATACCAAAGTATTCTAAATCAAATGTGAAGCCATCTGCGTGACAGGTTTGGCCAAAACAATGATGCAGATCACAGCAGCAAAACTCTACAACATAATGGCTAAAAAAGAAAAGAATCAAGATGCTGCAGCGGTCCATATATTTGACCTCAATCTCACCTGTCCAGACCTCAAGATATGGTAGCTGTGCATCTGAGATTTGCAACGAAATCCTGCAAACCACAATGAAATGAAGCAACATAGTGAAAAACAGCAGCCCAAAATGCCTCCACTATGGTGTGAGCGACTTATAAAGTCATATAGAAAACAATTAATTCAAGTTATTGTCGCTAAAGGTTGTTCCAAGACATTGAATAATGGAGTCTACTTAGTTTTTCTGCTTTTTGACATAGTTTTTGTTAAATAAATAATGCCTAAATAATTATGTATCATGTTGTTTATATGAAGTTGTATTTAAATAATTTTAAGGCCTTATAAGAACTAGATATGTACCTTAAGCCTTAAATAGCTCTCATAGCTTTACCAAGCTTTTAACTGTAAGCAGCAGTGATACTGTATATTTGCAGTAGACTTGCTAAAAGACTAAAAAAAAAAAGCAGTGCACTCAGCAATCATGCTATTGGGTAAACCTGTTTAGTCTAATGCAATCCAACATGTCAGCTCCCTTTGTTTATATGCTCATAGTCTGTACTTTGTAATAATTTTGTCCTGGACTGCATTACGCTGAAAGTCTAGCTAATGTTCTGGATATTTACAAACATAAAAAGAATATCAGAAATACATTTCACAATAACACAGTCCAGTAGAACTTCACTCTTTGTATACACGTGTTAGCATCTGTCTTTCCTTTGCGTTCCTCAACAGCTGATCTTGGAAGTACAGTGTCCAGTTGTTTGGATGAATGGTTCTCATATTTTGGCTATTGTTGTGCACTGAATGACTGTACACAAACTTCTCCTGTATAGACATTTAGTAACACTGGGTGGATTTTTATTTGCTTAAAGAACATAAGTTGTACCATTATTAGAGAAAGATCACAAATGAAAAGGTGATAATAAACAAGAAAAAAAGGCTAAAGGGGAACCTTCTACATAGTTTGGTCTGCTTAGGCAGGCCACATGTTGGGTTGAGTCCCAGTCAACATCATGAGGTTGTCTTTGGCTGTTAGTAAAGGGAAAAGACCAAAGTCAGTCACTTCATGCAAAGTTTGCGCTGTGCCAAACCTATCCACCCTACTGCTCAATTCGTGCCGTGTGTGAAGAAATTCTTCATGCCAGTGAAGCTAGACAGCCTCTGTGTTTTGTCACTGTACGCATGGTGATATTTCTTCAGCACTGTGGGTTTTTTTTCCAACTTCAAAGATTAACAGGTGTCCTTTAATGACATTTATGCACAATATCAAAACGTCGTTGCTTTCTGCAGCTGAGGTTAGTGTTGGATTAAAAACCCACATGTTGTGTCACGCAGCAATCGTGATGTGTAAAGGTCTTTAATCATTATAGTTGCGGAGAGAATTTGACACTGGCTGGAAAAACCTAAGGATGCTGCATCCAACATCTGCAGAGAAACAATCTTCCAGTCAAATCTTACTAAGGATTAATGCAAAAAAAATGACATTTTTTCTGTATCCTGTAGTATGAATGTTTATTAGACTATAATACAAATAGAGTCAGAAGTGACATTACGAGGTTTTTGGACACGGAATTAGCAGAGACAGGCCGCTGGGACACCTATCAATCAAAGCTACCACGGCTCTTACTTCCAAAATGTAAAAAAAGACTCTCCATACTACTTTTTTATAAAGAGATAAATTGGCTTAGAGGCCATTTTTTTGCATCGAAATGAGAGTAAATGGGGACTCTGACTTTTTGGACAACTGGGAGTTTCAACCGGCATGTCTGAAAATGCCAAAGACAACGACAAATCCATCCCGCTCTGTTAAGCTTTGAACATTGCATAAAAGAAACCAGTGCATCTCATAATGATTTTTTTTTTTTTTAGCATATGACTATGTGTCCCTTTCTACATTCTTGTGCCTATTCATAATACAGTTGGTTTAATAGCTAGTGAGGACAGACACCTTCCACTATCGAAGTGCCAGTAAGAGACATACACACACATCCAAAAACGAGCCATTCAGGATTATAATATTAATAATATAAATGGAGAGGAGTAAGTAAATCTAGATATCCTCAGTTATTTAATGTTTCAGGGTCAGAGCTGTCTCATATTTTCTGGCAAACGTTGAATAATGACATTTAAAATCAAAATAAATGAAATAAAGATTAACATTTGTTCATAACTGCAATGGAATAACTTGATTACTGCTTTTTTCCATAAAAGACAGACAAACACAGCTTGTGTTAAGAAGAGCGTCTCCATTTGTGACTTTACATCCATCACTTTTATAGTGATGGATGTATGGCTCCCTCTGATGGTCACAGAGCAGAGCAGCTCAAAAGCTTAGTGACCTATGAACTTTTTTATGCTCAAAATTATGATGTATTTAGCAACAGTTGAGCTGTACACATGTAGAATATGACATTTGATGGTTTGCAGATATTGGAAGAACAATATCTGTAAACCAAGTATATGTAATAAGACTGATTTGTGATGTATATTGATTGATTGATAAGGTGCAGTGTAAATATTTCAGTGTGTGTATATAATATATCTCTGTATGTGTATTTGCTTGACAGCCCTACAAATGAATGAAATTGCAGTAAACTTTACTGACTTTTACTTACTGACTTTTACTTACTGTACTTACTTTTATTTGAATTTTGCACCACATTTTGAAAAGACAGACTAGTTTAACTAGTTTAATATCTGTGCAAAGGTGTGACTGGAAACTGTGACTTTAGTGACTCATTTAGTTTTCACAGTTTTTCAAAGTGTGATGTTTCTCACAGCTACAGAAAACAAGAAAAAAGGTGAGCAGTTGCACTTTTAAACCTCATTAAACATGAGTTCACTTGGTAGTGAGAGGTCCAGAGTTCCCTTTAAACTGCAAAATAAAACTATAAAAAGAGTCATAAATAAATGAATGTGTAAAGAAAAGAAATAGAAAGGAAGTCCTGTTGATGAAAACCCCGAGGATTGAGCCAGCAACCTTCTGATGGTTGCTCTATCTGTCCACTTTTACAGTTCCCTATAAGCCTCTCTAAAAGCCTTATAGAGAACTCTGCTGCCCTCTGCAACATATCATGACGTATTGAACAACAACACTATGGAAAGAGGAAAAATGTAATAAAACATCTGACATAAAATGTAAAAATGTGTGTGACATATTTATTAATATACATTTTTAGCAATTGAAAGCACTCTATCAAGTGCAGTGTGTATGTGTTTGCATTAAGTCTGCATCACTCACAATAGTAATCAACATAATTAGAATCACTTATTTGAATCAAACTAAAGAGCAACATTTTGAACAGCTAGACCTCTTTAACTGCCGTAACTGCAAAGCTGTTGCTGGAAAAGAAAAAAACGTCAACAGCTCATGTACGTTTTACAGTTTTAAAGGTGTGATTTTTCATGCTGCTAGAGAAAATGACAAAGAGAAAATGGGAATACTTTTCGATTAATTTAATGTAAGTCCATTTAATAATGAGGGTACAGGACTTTAAAGATCAAAATAAAAACCACAAAAAGAATCTTAAAAAAAGACTGCAATGATAAATGTCTGACAAAAGTTTCAGAAGAGAAATACACCGGATGTGTTGTTAATGAAAACCACAGACAGACTGCAAGGTGATGCGTAAAGTTGCACCCCTTAATGACTGCACCTCACAGGCACAATGCACACTCTGCAACTGTTTTTGCTCTTCCTACCAACTAGTTGTCTCAAACAAAATGGTAAGAATTTAGTATCTTATCTTTTTTTCAAAGAATGTGAGATAATTGTTATTCTTTTTTTTTTTTTTCATTTCTTTGCAGCAAGAAGAGTTCAATGCTCTATATGGCATCAGTGCAACACAGGATAAGGCACGTATGTGGAGGATTCCTTGTCAGTGAAGACTTCGTATTGACTGCTGCACACTGTGATGATTGGTAAGTTACTAAGATCCTACAAGGAATCTGTTCATCACCTAAATATGAATATTTCTGCAAACTTCTTAATTATTATCAATGCAGGAAATGTTGTTCTGGGCACCCACAATCTCAAGAAAGCTGAGAAGACCATGATATATCAAATAAAAAAGAAGTGCAAGCATCCTTCTTACAAGAATGCTAAATCTGGAAATGATATCATGCTTCTCAAAGTAAGTAAATAACTCTTTAACTTCAGTGTTCATCAACTCATTTATTACAATATATTTGAAGATTTCAATTCATAAAATTTCAAGACTGTGATTTTATGTAGTTTTGTCGTTGTTGTTGTTGTCTCCAGCAAAATCAAATAAAGATATTTTTTCTCACAGGGTGATTCTGGGGGTCCTCTGGTATGTGACAAGAAGATGGCACCCATATACAAATGCACACACACACACACGCACACACATACACACACATGTGTGCATTTACACTACTTTAACATCTGACATGTGACCGTGAAGGTGTAGCTGGAAAATGTGGTTTCATTGACTCACAGACTCAACATATACGTGTTGATGAAAGCCACAGAAACATTGTAAGGTGATGCATAAAGCAGACAAACTGCCCCCCTAAACAACGACATTTTACTTGACTTCCACGCATCATGCACGCTCTACAGAAGTGTCTTCTAGTCACAGCTGTGACATGCCTCATACAAAATGGTAAGATTGCAAAATATTTTTCTTAAAGTTATGCAAAAACTATATTTCTCACAGTTTTTCTTCATTTATTTTCAGTACTGGGAAGTGAAATCATAAATGGCAAAAAGGCTGATGAAAAGTTCATGCAGTATATGGCATCAGTACAAAACAACAAAATACACACATGTGGAGGATTCCTTGTCAGTGAAGACTTTGTAATGACTGCTGCGCATTGTGCTGTTAAGTGAGTAACCACCAAAAGCGTGTCACATTCATCTAAATATAAATAATTATTTTGGTTTCTCATTCATTATTCATGTAGGAAGCTTAAATCCTTAAGTGTTGTTCTGGGCACCCATGATCTCAAGAAGGCAAATAAGAAAATGAGATATGGAGTAAAAATGATGTGCAGACACCCTGCCTTCAAGGAAGTTGCAAATGGGAATGACATCATGCTCCTCAAAGTAAGTATTCATCTATTCAGCCTCGGCTTCACAAAGGATATCAGACGTTCTTATGAATCAATCAATAATAAAAATAGTTAATACAGGGAGGAAAGTATAAAATAAAAATAAAAGAATAAATAAAAGAAACATAATTAAAAGAACAACAAAAAAACTAAACATTTTCTGGCACTTTCCGCCAGCATTTATCGTCAAACCACATGGTCAATCACCAATTACATGATTTTGTTTAAGCTTCAACCAATCAAAGCACATTTTATTGTAGTATAGATAAAAACAACAGCAACAATAATAATACATGAAATTACTTCTTGTTCCACAACAAAACAAACAAGCAGCTTTTCTTAATTTGCTGTAATAATAATATACATATCACGCATTATTAGATATATTAATACATCTAAATACAAAGACGATAATAATAGTATTTTAGAATAATTTGCCTTATGCAAGTCGTTACCCACATTTGTGCATGCACTATCTGTTTGAGAGACATGCAAAGACAAATACTGGAGAACTTTAAATAAACACAAATTTGATATCTTCATAACTGATTTGAATTTTAATCATTTATTTTCTGAGGTTTTTGATTTTATCTTTCCAGCTGTCTAAGAAAGTTTCCCTGGGTGGCAAAAAACCAATTAAGCTAATTCCACTTCCAATTCAAAAACTAAACCTGAAGGAAAAGAAGATCTGCAGTGTAGCTGGATGGGGGCCCACAGAACCTCGTAAACATCGATCTGGTTATGTTAATGAGCTGCAAGTGTTGGATGTTCCCATCATTAACAAGGACGAGTGTCAGAAGGTGTGGGGACAAATTCCCAAAAATGTTATTTGCGCCGGTGGATACAAAGCAAAGAGTGGAATCTGTCAGGTCTTTTTTTCATGTTTTCTTATCAAAATAGTATAAACATCAAAATTATTGAAAAACAACAAATTAATGTTTGATATTTCTTCCTCACAGGGTGATTCTGGTGGGCCTCTCATATGTAACAAGTTGGCTGTTGGCATTGTTTCCTTTAACAACGACAATGGCTGTAACTATCCAGATGTCCCAAACGTCTATACAGACATATCACAATTTCTTCCTTGGATCACAGATATTCTCAAGAAAAAAAAATGCAAAGGGTAAAAAATATTTTAAATTGTGTTATGGGTGTATTGTAAGACTGTTGGGCAAGTGATATGTGAGCTGTGTAAACTGCTTAAATTCTGCAATATCTAACATTAAAGGGCCTTTCAAAAAACTGCTGATGACTCTTTTCAATGTCAAGCTTACACTAGAACATCAGTAACATAGTAGCTTTGAAGTGCGCAAGTTAGTATGATGTAAAAAAAAAAACAAAGGTTTGTCGTTAGTTGTATTACACAAACTAATTTGTCAGAAAAAGAATAAAGATCCATTGAGAATTCAAAAAGGCTCATAAACAGTAATATCCAGCGCAAATTAATCTCATTTCATTACAATCTGACCGATACTGTAGGAGGAGTGATTCTTATGAAACATGGCCAGACACTTCACCATGGCTAAAACTCCTCAATCCACATCAATCAGAAAAAAGAAAGAAAGAAAAGTGTATAGTTTTGTTTGACATCACAATTGTACATGGCTATTGAGAGGTCGAGTGACTTCACAAAGAAATTTGATAATTCATGAATTAATTTCCTGTATTTAGTAGACTTTTTGCACATTTTATTTTACATCAGTTTATACTGTGCATGCTGTTATTTATGAAAAAGAAACCAAAATCCAAATCCAATTTATTTATATAGCACATTTAAAAACAAAGAGTTTGCCCAAAGTGCTGTACAGAGACAAAGGGGTAAAACACAAGATAAAACCACTGACACCCACATAAACACATAATAACACATAACAAACATATCAACTCACACCAGTCTAAATGCTATCAAAAAAAGGTGTTTTTTCAAAAGAGACATAAAAATAGGAAATGAATATGCCTGTCTGATATTTAAGGGGACTTATTCCAAAGTTTGGGAGTCATAATTGAAGACGTTTGTTGTCCTCTACGCTTTAGCCTAGATTTTGGAACAACCAAAAGCAGCAGGTTGGCTGATCTAAGGGCCCGTGAAGGAATATAAGGCTGAAGTATCTCGGAAAGGTAAGGGGGAGCATTTAGGCATTTATAAACCAGCGTTAGGACTTTGAAATTAGCCAAGCCAACCACAATTCCCAAGCAGGTTGCATGAAATATTATTAGGCCTAAATGCAATCACTTCCATTTTATCCTCATTGAAGCTCAAAAAGTTCAGAGCCATCCAAGCTCTGACATCTTCAAGGCAGTTCAGAAAGATTTGAATCGAGCCTGGGCCGTTTGGCGCTAAAGGCAAATAAATTTGGCAGTCGTCTGCATAGCAGTGAAAGGATATTTTGTGTTTTCTAAAATAGACCCCAAAGGGAGCACGTACAGTGAAAAAAGAAGAGGGCCAAGGATTGAGCCCTGAGGCACCCCACAAGAAAGAGGGGCTGAGGTGGATTCAAATTTTCAACATTAACACTAAACGTTCTGCCACTCAAATAACGAAGTTATTGAACGAAGCCAATCCAGTGTTACACCTTTGATGCCAACCAGGCGTTCCAAACAAGAGATAAGAATACTGTCGCCAACAGTATTAAACGCTGTAGTTAGATCTAAAAGCACAAGGCTCACGGTACTTCGACAATCATTGGCTAAACAGATGTCGTTACAAAACCCATAAAAGTGCTGTTTCAGTGGAGTGTAGATGTTTAAACCAAACTGAAAAACTTCCAGGATACCATTAGTATGTAAAAACGTATTCAGTTGGGTAAAAACATTTTTTTTCCAATAACTTTGAATGGAAAATTTAGTAAAGAATGGAAATTTTGAAATAGGTCAAAAATTTGAGCAAACTGAAGGGTCAAGGCCAGGATTTTTAAATAAAGGGTTTACAATTGCATGTTTTAAACCATCAGGAAGTACACTGGAAGTAATATTGCTATTTATAATGGCAAGGACTAAGGTTCCAATCAAGGGAAAAACCTCTTTAAAAACCATGCAGGGATAACATCCACGGGAGAACCAGAAGGTTTAATTTGACTAATCATCTCGTTAAGAAGTGTAATTGAGACAGGTTTAAACTGGCAGCTGAACAGGGACTAAACATGGACGGGTCACATGTAGGAGGTACTATTGCTGACTCGACCTTGTTTACAAAAAGAGAAAGAAACTGATTACATCTGTCAACAGAGCCTTTTACCAAAACTAAAATCCAGACACTAATTAAATTTCAAATAAAATATAATGTGTGAATGAGAATATGTGGCTATAATGTGTCAATAGTGAGCCTCATATTAAACAAAAGTCTTTTTGTTTTTTTGTTTTTCCTTTTTTTGTGTCCTGTCTGGCACTGTAGCAATCAGAATTATTGTCTGAAGGCCAACAAAAGTCATTTTGTATACAAATATTTTTGCGGCCCGCGGTCCATTTTTAATTGGCCCGCAAGTAATTTTATAAATAGAATAGAATATGGCCCACACTTCAACTTTTGCTTGAGTGTATTGCACCTCTCAGTTTTAACACCAGGGGGAGCTGCTGTTGATCAAGGCAGTTGCTCCACCAAAAAGGACAATCACAGAAGAAATTTACCCCAAGTTACTAAACATGGCAGAACCAAAGAAGCGAAAGGTAGAAAAGTGAGTGCAGAAAATTTCAGACACGGTGGGAGAGTGAATATTTCTTCAAATAATTCAAGGGGAAGTGTATCTGTTTGATCTGCACTGAAACTGTGGCAATTATGAAATAATGCACCACGTCATTATGAAACCAAACATCAGGCCTATGCATCCTACACTGGTGCTGAGCGAGAGCAGCAAAGGGTAGCTCTCCTGCGGGGTCAGCAACAGTATTTTTTTTTCGTGCTCAAATTGTCCAGGAAAAGGCTCCAATAGCCAGCTATGAGGTCGCCCAACTCATCGCAAGACATGGCAAGGCTTTTTCAGATGGAGACCTCATAAAACACGGCTTCGTTAAAATCACCGAAATAATGTGCCGCAGCTGGATGGCCCGATTTACATACCCAGCTCAGCTGATACTCACCAGAATAATTTACTAAAATTATATGGACTCCTGTTATTAAGTCCAGTTCAGTCTGTTAATGTTGATAATCGTTTCAAACGGACGTTAATAGATGTTTTGCTAAGCCTAATAACTTAAATAACAAACTTGAAATGTACCGTCCCATTTTCCCCTTTATTGTTTTAAATGGATGCAAAATAACTTTGTTGTTTGCAAAACTTGTGCATAGGATTTTAAAATCGACAATTTATATTTGCTGTAAATCCTCTGTCTAAGAAGAAATCTGAGGCTGCTGTTCTGAGAATGATCTACCAAAGCTTTTTCTGAATAAATCAATAAAGATCCATTTATGGAAAGCTGTGATGAAGGCAGTTTTGTCTTTAATTATATTCAACAATATAACACATTTGACCACTTTTAAGTGATTTTTCTAACTTTAATACAGTAAAGTTAAGGTTATATACCTAATTTATACCTAATTGGCCCTCAGTGAAAAAAGTTTGGACACCCCTGCTTTATAGCTTTCAAGGGCAATAAGATGACTGCTTCATTATTGTAAGGTGACCACCACCAAAATGAAGCAAGATTGTTTTTGTTTTTTTTCACAGTTTACAACCTTTAATATAAAGCTACTGTTAACATCTTGTTAGTCTACTGTTGCTAATAATTAGATAAATAATTATGACCTCCACACACTCTCTTGCTTATAGAAATGTGCAACGCCATAAAAATCAAAATGACATTTTTTTTTCTCAAACTGGTGCATTTTCTCAGTTGAAACATTTTGTATATTTTTGTGCTCTATTGTGAATAAAATACGGATTTATGAGGGCAACCTATAT